CCCCCTCCCCTTCTGGCTGAAAAGTATCAGTAGCCAGCCGCCAGGCGCTGTCAACAAGCACACTGTAACACCATTGTTACCTCTCATGGTTTTTTAGTATATTAAAACTAGATCCCAAGAGATGAATCAAAAAAACAAACGTGGTGTATTTGAGCAAAAATATAGTATTGAGCAAATAAAGTTTTCATAATACAAGTAAAATTCACAAGCACTTGCTTTTGTTTTGGAAGAATGCAGGTTGCCCTTTCCATTAACTTGTAGCCACGGTCTACTCCAGAAGTAGCATAAGCCCCTTTTGAAGCACACTGAAATACACTATTACACTTCAAGCTTCTGCTGCACAGAGCCCACCTTTATCCTTCCTCTCCCCAAGATTTGCTGAACAAGCTCAGCAGTTACATCCTGTACAGTAATGCTACTCCCTAGCAATACCGTGTAGTCATTGTCCAATTTTATCCTCCCGCCTGTCACACACCAGCCAAAGCTTGAGTCAATGCCAGCATGCTGAGCCGCAGCAATGATGTTCCTCTGCCGACACATCGAAAAAGGAGGCTTTTACATCAGCACTATTTCTTCAAAACATCCTAAGTGAATTATTCAATCACTGGAAAAGAATTATGAGATAATTTGAAATCCAACAACTCCAGTAGTCTCTGCAGACCTCCAACACACCTGTGAGAAAAAGTCAGAGCACACCCTGGATAATAGAAAAACAAACACACACAACTGCACATCCAGAGAAGCACTTAAAACCAAAGCTATGAAGACACCTGAATCAAAAAAGCTCCTGTTAAATCACTACAAGAAAAAGCATACTAATACAAACCTTTTAGAACAAGTTTATTAGTCAACCACAATTATAAAATTTAAATATTTATACAGCAAAATGGAAAATTCTTAAGTAACCAAACACTCCAAGCTATTTTGCTGCAGTATACACAGGAATGGTTCTGTTTCTTCTATGAGTTGATCCAATATCATCCTTTAGTTACTCATCAACTTCTTGAAGGCATTTAATTTTGAGAATATATTTCACATTCATCAGTGCAATATAAAAAACAAACAAAGAAATCAAGACCATACTAAACTGATTCCAAAAATAACAACAACAACAAAAAAAGACAGGCACATTAAAGTCAGCTACTCCATAAATAGCTCATGGTTCATACTGTTTCTATGTGTTGCCATAGTTCAAAGGGTACAGATGAAAATGTTCCTTTGCTACACAAACATAAATAACACGTTCCAAATGTTGTCGTTTGTTTTTGCAAAACATGCACGAATTTACCAAACTTTTAAAAATCTTCTGTACAAGAGAAGAAATACAAAGGCAGCCAGAAATGGAAGCATTCACAAACACCAGAATAAGACCTTTCAGTTTCTTTAAAAGTAACATGTTAAACCCCTTCATTCTCAGGTAACAGATTAAGAGGCCGAGATACACATCGTCTGCGAGGGTGAGGATACTGGAGGTTGGCAGTGTCAGCATCGCAAGAGTGCTCTATCAGAGGAGGAGGAGGAAGGAGCTGGGCATGACTGGACCATCTCGATCCAGCCCGTGGGGAATCCAGAGGGGGAAAGAAATACCTGAAACAATTAAGAAAGGAACAAAACACCAAAACAAAAAAACAAAAACAAAAACAAAACAAAACAAGAAAAAGAGAAAGGTAGTAAATACAAGGAGAACCAAAGGGGAGAAAAGACATGCTGGAAAATAAAAAAAAGGCTTTAGTATATCCATGCCAAACCAATAGAACATAATAGCAGAAATCAAGGCTTGTAATTCAAAACAAGACAAATCTGCAAACTGTTTTTTAAAGAAAAATAAGACACTTTTCCACTGAAATTCATAGAAAAGAATACTGTAAATACTGTAATAGTAATCCTAGTATACATTTTTACAGAAGAACAGACTGCTTTGGAAATCAGAAGGATGTTGTAGCACAGCTATTAACAGGCTTTTATTCTCCCAGAATTCCTGCGAGTTAACAGAGCTTTTAGTAACGCTTCATTTGCAGCACAAAATATACATTAAGTATTATCCAAGTACATTTTCTGCATATGCATCTAATTCAGATTAACTTCACAGCACATCTAGAATAGACGTAAAAACATCATTGTTTTTACAATACTTTAAATTTAGTAATATACATTTACAGAGAATAACTACTTTCAATGAAGTACAGTCTTTGTATGTATTTACATATTTCCGCAAAATCCTCAGAGTAAATTTAAGATTTCTAGTGAACAAGACTCAGTTATGCCATTTCATGTATTTTTTCTACTTTTTTTATTAGAACTTACCCGTAATTCTTGTGCATTTTAGTATAACTATATTAGATACCTACAGATATTTTCTGTCTTGTTTACAGTTCTGTGGACTGACATAAAGGAACAGCTATATGATTAGTGAAATTATGGGACAATTCACAACAAACTGCATTTTGGTTTCAATCTTTGTATGGCTCAAACGTTTGTGGTTTTAGGATGCTACGCTTAGAGAATTTTAGTTACTCCATGGAATTATTACCATAGGAATGTACAAGTACATATCAGAAAAAGTACTTCTTAGGATGAAGAAAGTATGACCATACTTAGAAAACATTTATTTGAAGTCATACTAAGGTATAAATGAAGCAATACCAAACTATTAAAAGCTACCATCTGTACAATTGTCAAAACACAGTTTTCTCATTCTTTTAAAACTAGCAGTTTCATATATTACAAAGCAGTTACAAATTTGTGATGTTTAGGAATTTTAATCAAATGCTGAACACTATGAAATGCAAAGCAAATTAGTTATCAAAACAATTTTAATTAAAATTATTTTAATGGTCACTTCCCTCCTCCCATCCCAATCAAGGTCAAAAATTCTCATTTTTAGTCATGAATTAGTCTTTTAATTTGACAAGCTTGCAAAAATAAAAATTTTATGGACGTTTTGGGGTTTGGGTTGTTGTTTGTTTTTTCCAAACAAGAAGCCTCTCCAAGTATTTTTCTATCAGGAGTTCTAACAGTATCAAACTGTGCAGGCTAGTACAAAAAAAGTACACAACACGTTTTAAAAAGGCTTTTGAATAGCATTTAGTAGTTAGCAGGCTGCTGGTGTCTTGGGAGAGGTCAAACGGCGTTGGGGAGGGGAAAAAGGAGTTCGTTTTCCATTCCTGTGTGCATGCAACAAGCAGCAAAACACCAAAGTTACTCCAGTTAGCTTGGTATCAGCTCTGCTTTCTGTTAAAAAGGACATAATACAAATGGAGAATGGAAATTGTATCATAAATCTAGACACACAATTATATTAACATAACAATACAGCCATACTGACTTATTTTCCAACAATCTACATCATCTGTTCTGAAACTATTTTTATTACAAATCCAGTTTGGTGATTGTTCTTTAACAAAGTTTCCCAGATCTGCCTATGCTTTAGCTCTCTGAAGTGTTTAAACGTATAGACACTAACACAGCATCTGCATTCACAGACAAAATCAATTGTGTAGTATACCAATTCAGTCAAATGTCAGTACATAAATCTTTATTGTGTTAATATACTAAACCAAAAAGTTAGCAACTGTGCTTATGCAAATCAAGCCCTTGTGAATACAAAAGAAAACACGTAGTTAAGTGCATCTTTTCGATAGTAAAGCTCAATCCTAGGACAAGACACCACACATTTCAAAATTTCACAGCCATGGACTTAATTCTGTAACAAGATGTTAATTCCAAATTGGAGCCAAGAATAATTTATTAAAAAACAAAAGAAAACCCCATTTTCAAAATACAGAACAATGGAGGGAGTCTAAAATAGCGCTAGAAGTTTCAGTTTCACAGTGACTTGCTACCAACTTCAGGAAGAACAACAACCAATGAGGTAGGATCGGGCAAGTCTTCCTGGCAGCAACAGTTTTAGATAAGGAGACTGTGAAACCACACCCTATGCTAAAGAGGTATAAAGTAGCCTGCACCTCCCTACGGGAGCCCAAACATATACAGTTATATAGCTTTGGACATCACATTTCCAAGACAGGACTGCATTTCAGCATTGTTTTGTTACACTACAAGCAGCAGCTGGAACCAGATGACCAATATAATTTCCCCTCCTTCCTCGCTGGAGACTTGGCCCATTACCATCTCTTGCACTCCCATTTATCTTGTGAGGAAAATGTGAAAGCCCTTCTCTGTTCAACACAGCTAGGATCTGGAAGCCAGAATTACCATTCAAAACTGACTGCTCAAGTGGGGGTGAAGTCTACTCTCCAAAAGCCAACTGTCATAGCACTTTACAGATGAGCATTTTAAACTGAAAAAAAAGCTATATTAGTAGCTGGAGACAGATGGAAATGGAGGCCATCCCAAGGAACATGAAAAAAATACAGGTGGCCACAAAACTTGGAAGCTGCTGCTAGGAAATTTGGCCACATCTAGTCCTTACATAGGATACATCCTGTAAAGTCATTTGTCCACATTCCACCATGAAAATGCAGGGCTCAGTGTATTTCTGGATTTCGGTGTGTACAAGTGGTTTTCAGAAAAAGCAGTTAAATTTACCTACTAAACAGCAATTATTACAGAATAAAAACATAACAGACAAAGCTAATCTGCAATAATAATGCCATATGAGCAAGATTAAAACCCCCAAAACTTTTATTTAACTAATGTTACACCTGCAAAAATGCAAGTAAACTAACACTAGTATATGATTGTTGTAACCATACATTATGAAGTATCTTTTTCTCCTTCCTTTCTGCTACATTATCCCAGTGAAAAACAGTTTGTTGCTGGTATTTTTGCTTCACTTTTACACACATATAAAACAAAAGGGCAGTTACACAGCAGTAAGATGAAGCTTCACCTTGTGTGAAACTATTTCAGAAAAAATATTTTTAAACATGTGAAAGGACTAAAAGGGAAGAATAGTTGTTTACATGACTTATACAGAATGATTCAGTATGGCTTAGGTTTTGTTCATTTTCCTCTTTAATGCTGGTATAACAGACACCATCACAGAGCAAAACCAGATTAGCTTGTAGAAGTATTCATGCAATAAATGACATTGCACTATAGAAAAATAATTATAAAACAAACATGAAAGCTAAGTGAAACGAAGAAAGTTCAGCAAAGAGTGTTTACTGAAATTCAGTCTCTTTAGTAATTAACCTACCTGCTGGCAGATGATCCATTTAGTGAATTCTGTAGACTTGTATTGGCTGAACCTAGAGAGGCATTAAAAATTCCCTGCTGAGAACTACCATTCACTGGACTCCCATTACCTTTCAGTATACCAGTGCATTTCCAGTTGTCCATGTAATTAGCTGCAAATACAGATACATAAAAACTGTTAAATTTCTCTTCTGAAGCTCAGCTTTTGATACAGGTGTGACCTTTCAACTGCTGTGCACCTGGTGTGAATTAGAACAGAACTTCATATACCAGTATATAAATTGCAAACAGCTGAAGATATGGCCCTTTAGCTGTCTAACATTCTCTGCCTATCAACAATTAAAAACTCGGTTTTGTTCAGTAGCAAGGATGAGTTTCCTGTATTAAAATACTGAGAAACAAGTGAGAATGGATGAGGAAACTGCCACTGGGTTTTTTTGTTGTTGCTTTTGGAAATGTAAACAGAAGAAAAGCCAGTTTCCCTGAACATTGTGACTGAATGTAGATTTTCTGGCTTTGGCAGCAGACAAGGACAGTGACACAGTACATATGTTAATTTTCAAAATTACAACTTCACAAAGCTCTAGTCTGATGAAGCAATTTGAGAGTACAGTAGCAAGTATTCACAGGAGCCTAAATCATGCAAGTGTTCCAGCACAGACCTTTCCCTGAAATGTTAAATATAAAAATCTATAACACAATCACAAATCTAAAGTGAACTTTGACTCCAAAATTATTTCTTGAGTAAAATTTCTCAAGTATATTCAGCATACTACAAAGCTAATATATTTCAGGTGAGTGACCTTACCCTTCCAGAGCCTAACGCAGCCATCATCACCAGAGGAGGCAAGCACTGTGCCTGTAATATTCCAGCTCACTCGCCACACCTGGGAGTTGTGATTATCAAACTGTGCCACAATATGAATTTCAAATTTTGTTAATCCTCCAGAAGTCGACAATTCTTTCCTGTTTAAAGAGAAGAGTGACAGTTCTGCACACAACTGTTCAAAGGTCTGGGCTGGGCTTGAACATGTCAACAAAAAGCGAGGAATACATCTTTCAAGGACTTTATGTAACAATTGTTACTACATTAGGTATTTTTTAAAAGGTATTCAGACAAAATTATAGACTTGCTCACAATCTTGTCATCTTCAAAATCACGCCGCTAAAAAACAATCCTGCATACTTTTACTACTTTTGCTTTACAGATACTATTAAAATAAGACTATATAGTAAGCACCACATCATACCAACCTATCTTCCTTTTAAGCTCACCTTAGAGGTTTTAGTGTAAAAATTCGTACATCTTTGGTTGCAACAGCTAAGATGTGGAAGGATCTTCCCAGATTTGGAGCAAATGCAATATCATGTACAGGATCCGTGACTGTCATCAGAGCTTCTGCTTTTGCATATTTCCTATACAGCATAAGAAATTAACCTTTAACCATCAAAATTGCCAGTGATGCAAATTATATAAATCAGAAAAAGTGGAACAGGGAAAAAGGGGTTAGTATACATGATGAGACTTGCAGAAATAAATATATTTTCTTAACATAAATTTAATTTTAAGTAATAATTACAAGCCGATTTCTTCATAAACTGAATACATCAGATACAGTAACTACTAACAGTATGCTGAATCATACAAAGCAAGGATTCCAGTACAAAGAATATTTTAGTCTACAATTGTAAAAGGGAAATTAAAAAAAATTCTTCCATTCACAAATCTAAAGAGAATTTGTATCTCAATAACTTAGTACATTTTCTGTATATCTGAACAGACCACCATCTGCCTCCTCTGCTGTGTGATAAACACATACTCCATTTTCTTATTTACCACCAGGTATGTTACAACAACATTTCTTTTTTGTTAATGCACATAGAATATTGTCTGAAGCCAGGCATAAATCCACAAAACACCTTGGCTCCTTTCTCACACCAGTCACCCTGAATGAAACACAAGTTCTCTGTCATCATTTAGCTGAAAGTCATTGTGCACACACTTCCTGGCCTTTTCTGGTTCTGATTTAACCGTACAAACTGAACTTTCACAGAACACCAGTAATTCACAGGACTTTCTCTCATTATAAACATGTTTTTAAAAGCATTTTGAGGTCACCTTGAACAAAACAGTGCCTAGTGCAACATGATTCAAATTTCAACTTTGCCCTATTATTTCCTTGTGCAAAATTAAGCATATAAAGGAGTAGAAGCAGAAACAATTCTCCCTTTAAAATGCTGGTAAGAACATGAGCACTTCTGCACAGAGATACAAACAAAATAATCAGTATCATGTCTGTTAACATCAACTACATTCTGAGGTCTCCTTCCCCTTTCCATCTGATGGCTCAGAGACAGAATTACAGTATTACTACTCCACTCTACATCTAATGACAGGAATGAAATGAAAGGCCATATATTACACTACTTTAAGATCCCACAAATGTTATGTATTATCATTTAGCATACCTGGTATTTTCGTTATACTCATAAATTTGAACCTTAGCCAATATATTTGGACTGTTGTCATCACTTCCTACAGCTATCATTGGAGAATGTGCTCGAGAGCTAAAACGTGAAAATAAATAGTTATATTTACAAATTATTTCACAGAAAGTACACCAAGCCATTTTTAAAATTTCAGACACAATATCTATAAAGAAAACAATAACAAACAAAAATCACAAGGGAGGGGAAATCACAACGAAATATCAGTAAGTGCCATTCACAGTTGCGAGTACAACCTCTATCCTGCTGTTTTGAAAGCCCACTTTATGCACCCACTACACTTAAATAATTAGGGAACATTATTTGGCAATTCAAGATTATGCTTCTGGAGAGTAGGATTGACTTTCTATATCCATCTGCCGTCAAGTATTTGCCACAAGTCTCTGGGCAGAGTTGCATTCTTTGCAGTACTTTTACTGATTGATTTAATGGGATTTCATTCAGGTTTTGGAAGATAGATTACAAAGGCTAAATGTAGATGTTCCAGTTTTTAAATCAACTTTGAACCCAATCCCACACATTAAAGTGAAAGCCTGTACTCTGAACCTTCAGCACAAACTACTACTGATGAATAGAAGAAAAACTGGATCAGCAAGACACAGACCACTATGTCTACAAGGAAAGACATTAAGTGCTCCTGGACAAACAGAATCCAAAGCAGTACAGCTCTGAATGGTTCTTCCCTTGCTGTTATTAATGGTGGAGGATGTGAGATGGGAAGAGAAAAAGAACCTCTGCTTGTATGCATTCTTCTGGGTGTGGACTACAACTATCACACTCCTCTCCCGATTCGTTCTTGTTCAAGAAGGTTAAGTATATCATTGAGCCCCTGAGGATACAACTAAAAGAATTCTTTGTATCTGTCATTCCTAGTGCCCTGTTGTACTGACAAGAGTGTGTGTCCTTGTCAAAATCATCAACTATTCCAACACCTTTAAGAAAAGGAAAAAAAAAGACAGGAACTGTGTCTTTATAAACACTTTCTCTTATGAAAATTCCAGTTAAGTTTTGTGGGATAAATGAAGAGAACAGCTCTTTAGCTCATTACTTGCTAAAAATAATTAAGCTGGGAGTATTTCCTCAAAGAGCACAGGAGGACTTTTTGTATCACTTCTCTGACTCCGCCAAACTTGCTTTATTAAAAGAAACGTTAGCAGGTTTCTTTCATGTCTGAGTAATGTACATCCAATCTTCTCCACGGACGTTTTAGGATTTATTCTACAAAATTTCAGAACTCTTTGAATCTTCTGCTTAAACCATCATAAAGCAAAAATCAAAATTTTTAACAACATACCTTGAAGGATTCCAAGAAATACAACTGCAGCTTAGCTTACATGAGATTTCATGCTGCAGTGACCACTGACTAAGATTCATCACGTCTGGAGCTTCATAAATCCTTACAACTCCATCTGCTGAACAGGTTGCTAACATAAGACCCATATGCTTGGGAGCAAACTTCACATCTGTAACCGATGTCCTACTGTCTACTAGAGTGGTCCTCTTTACCTGCAAAGAAAGGCAGAAATTCTTGAAGGAAATGCTAGAAATTTCCATCAAAAATTTATTCCTTAAAGAAGGCTAATGAAAGTCTGACAACATCATTTCATAGGGTCACTTAGCTCTTCCATGAGGAAGTAAAAAAAGTCTTTATACACCACTGAATTGGAGGGATAACAGATCACTGAACTGATTCAACGTGAAGTATCAAGAGATATACTCACAGTGGTATCAAAGTTCTGATACCAAACACATAAGCATAAAATACAAGAGTATTGGCCACAGGCAGTTTGAAACTGTCCATTAATTTTGGTGACAGTATTAACTGCAATGCCTAGCAACACCACTTTCTAATTTCAGCGTTGCTGAGGTTTACCACAAAGCATATTCCAACAAAAGCATCAAAACAAACATTTCTGATAAGAGAACAGGTATATACAACAGACATTCGATAGTAAGATTAGCTAGGGTAGAAGAGGAAAAAACTGTCAACATTTGTTTTTCAAATTGACTCCTCTCCTACTAAGAAAGTACAAGTTTGAGCTGAAAACTGCATCACAACTGCCTCCTACACACAAAAGTCCACTTTCATACCCCACTGGGTGCCAAAGATCCTGACAACCCAACTCGTCAGTTTTGTACTTTAATGTTAGAAAACTTAAGTAAAACGTAGAAAACTGCAGATGTTTTAATAGCAACCTAAACCAAAATAAAATATTAGAGGCAGGAATACTATGTTGAGTTATATAAGATTACACATAAATAATAGCTGCAACATGATCTGTTTAGAAATAAAATTCCCTTGATGAAATGCTACCCAGAAAATCCACTTCTGATCAAACTATTTTACCCCAAAACTTCTTCTATACTGTTTGGAAGATGAGAAAGAACAGCGTGAGACAGTTTCAAATGAGCTCTAGTCACAGAAGAAAAACCTCACAGCTTCAGTTCTGCTATAGATGGGAATTCACATCTGCAAGTTGTTTGCCAGGGAATATCTTATTAAGAAATACCAATAGTAGTGACTCTAATTGGCCTCAAAGTTGCCATTCAGCTGTTTTCCCAAAATGCTTTAAAAATACTATTGGAATATTGCCACGAATTAACAAAACATAGGCAAAAATCAGAAAGACTTTATATTAACAGAAGAAAACAGAGTGTTTTCTCTGTTCTGAGAATAGAAAATATGTTGCAAAACCAGAAATGTCCAGTAACTTGGTATTTAGAGTAATTTTCATGTTCAGTCTTCTGGTTAATTCTGGAATTTAAAGAGTTTAAAGCTTCAGCAAACAACTCCATGAGGCACAGTAATTCTGTTTATACAAGAACATATAGAAACTGTAATTAATATGTTGAAGTCTCACCCAGTGACTCTGGCCTCGGAGTTTATCATTTGACTCTCCCACTATTTCTTCCCACACAGCTGCTGTTCTATCAAAAGAGCAGGAAGCCAGGACCTGTCCAAATTCAGGATGGGCCCATGTAACACGCCACACCGATCCACTGTGAGTCTGCAAAATAACACCAAAACGCTATAGAGAAACAGACTTACTGTATTAGTCCAAGTGATCATTTATTTTCATAACTTTCTGCCAAAGCAGAAGCAAATTCTAGTAAGTAGTAAGACTGTTCCTTTGAAACTTAACATTCTCTCATAAAGCTCAAAGTTACACAGCAGCTGTTGCATTTGTTTATTCCTATAAGCACTGAAAAGTTGCTGCTATTAGCTAATGCTTAAAAGGTAACTATTACATTTCAAGGCTTTATTTATTACTCCTTTCAACTGCAAGTTCCAAGTTAAGATTCTGCCTTGACACAAAAAGTACAGCTTTGTTTACAATTTTCAGCCATTACCATGCTCAATTCTAGCTCGCCTGTACTTTTCCAAAGCATATACAGAGCATTATTTATATTATCCTTTTTTACATAAAACTCCTCTTTCACACCTAGTGAACCTAATGCCTTTTTTTTTTTTTTTTTTAAAGAGAACAATAATTCAAAAGCTTCACTGTCATTTCCATTTACAGGGATTATTTATTGTGGTCCTACTAAATACAAGTTTAAGGATAACTCAGAAGCTGAATGCACTAATTATCCTCATGAAGCAGAGTCTTTATATGACACAGTTCTCAGAAAGGTTTGAGGAAAAAAAAAAGAGGTCAGATGTTGTAATGTTTAATAGCCAGAGCTCTTCCTTTTTTTTTATTCCTTTTAAGTCATATCATATGCAAAAAGGAAATATTCAATTAAAAATAAAGGCACTGTTTTCCAACTCCCTCAACACCAATTACAGCTATGTTTACTGATAACAAAGTCTGTCAACATAAGTACTAATAATGTAAGACTGCACACTAGCCTCTGCTTTAAGTGAGACACCCTACAGATGTTTTATAAAAGCAAAGAAAAACTATTTTATGATAAGAAATACAGGATCTGCAACAAATCAAAAGTATTTCTACTCTGCAGGTCAGCAAAAACTAAGTGTGTTTCTTCAAAAACAAGGGAGGAATTACAGTTAAAACTGTGTCATTTTTATAAATACAAACCTTCCAGCTGGCAGTGCAATGCCAATCCCCGTTTTCACTTTTGTCCCAGACCTATTGAGAAATCAAAATGCCATTATACAATTTGTACATAAAGCTTAACAAGTAGTACTACAAAACACAGGTGTTAAAAAAATAATTATATACACCATTACACATTTTCATCTGGAAAACTCTACCTGACTCAGTACACAACTGCATTTCATGTGACCTTGAAAACATCCCTACTACAGGTAGGGTGAAGACACCTACACCTGCACTATTGTATGAAGCCTCCTTTTTTTTATTATTCATAGAAGATTATTACAATTCTCAACACTTTGTGCATTCTGTCCCATGAACACACTACTCAGCTTCACTCGAGCCCCCATGCTCCCTCCCACAGCACATACATAGATCTGGTCACAAAACCCTGACATGACTCCTGGCAATCACCCCAAAGAAACAGGACAGCAACAAGAAAACCAAGCCAGTGGGGGAACAGATCTTGGTTCTGTTTCTATTATTTCTGCCTTGACTTATAATCACAACGTCACAAGTCACAACCTTTCTTTTGATTTTTCATACATTTTTATAATCTTAATTTTTCAGAAAAAAGTTATAAAGTCATGAATGTAACCAGATGAAAGACACCTCTAGAAGCCTGGCATCCGCCCCTCTTTGTCACTTGTTTACTGTAGAACTTTACTGAACGCCACCTCACTTTTGCCATTCTCGATCTCTAACACAACCTAGGTCATTCCCACCACAGCCCAACTTGGGAACTTCTCCCCGATCCCTATTCTGCAGGGCCCACCTAGCAAAAACGGGGTCTACGCCAGACATACCACTCATGGTTCCCAAGTGCTGTAAAACCGGTTAAAGTAAAGCTTAAATCATCTCACAAAGAATAATGTTACGATAGGAAAGTAACATTACATTGTTAAAAAACACAGTTTTTCAGTTCTACCTACCTCTTGGCATCCTTCTTAAGAACGTTTTTTTAGGCTGCAAGCTTTACGTAGTCAGTCCAGACCGAAGACTGAGATGGTTTTGACTTACTTTTGGGGGGACGTTTTTGTTGTTATTTTGTTTGCTTTATAATATGTGGTCAGGGAGAAGGGGTCTGCTCGCTTGTTCTTAAGCCTGATCTACATCTGAAATAGCTTTCTAAGGAAGAGCAACTCCTCAACGATTTATCTGGTTTAACAAAAGATATGACTGCTCCCCGAAAGTTAAATTTCTTAAATTTAACCATCTAACTCCCGAAGTTCTGTCCATCTTCTCACTATGCGCAAAAAATGGGAAGTGCAACTAACCCTTCGGTAACTTTTCATTACTTTATCTTCTCTAAAGGAATGTAAAATTAAGGTTTCTAGTATTTTACAGTTTCCCTAGTCTGCCAGGGCACACGCAGAACATTTCAGCCCTTCGCTTACTGGCACTTCACTACGAAACAGTAGCTTCTTCGCTTCGCGCCCTTAAATACAGATACTCAGTTGAATCAACAAACCAAGCAGCACTGCTGCCGCCACAACAGCTGAAGGCTGTATTCCCGCCTGCACACCAGGGTCGGAAAGCAGCTGTATGTCTGTACGCGTGGGAGCGAAGGCGCGGACACAACCAACCCGCGTTACCCACGAACGCGTCCTGGCCCCGCAGCCCCCCCGCGACAGCCCGACACCGCGCGTGGG